GAATCATATTTCACACACACACAAAAAACTGTTGAATGCCATAACAAATACATAAAAACAAAGTGCAAATATTAAAATTAAAACATACTAATGTTATAGCAACAATATCAGGCTATTATCTTGTTCGGGGAATGTATCCATCAATATTCACATAAAATAATGAGATACCATTCATCTGCAGCTGACAAAGAATCCTGTTCTATGTCATGTGTCTTTTAACAGTCTCGAGCTCATATGCGAAAACGTGATCTATCGTTTCAGGTTTTTCAAATTGGTGTGTAGTCCCATTAGTCACCCAAGATAGCACACCTGGCAACTAATTGCATGATGTCCGCCATTCTTTAAAAAGTAATTTAGTTAGCCAATAATGAGCAATCAATCAATGTATTGGCGGTTAATCCTTTGATGGAAGGACGTTGTTTTTACAAAGAGACTTTACGACAGGGTGTATTCAGTATAGATTAGTAAATAAACATATATAAACACTACCTTTTGACAAATCCGCTGTGCAGGATAAAAACAATTAATCAATCAGCGTTTTATCGGTTAATCCTTTGATCGATGTTTGTTTTGTAATTCCTCTTGCTGCACTTCCATGCGCATATTACATAAGATGTAATACACTTGCCACATCAGACCTCAATTCATAATGATGAGTATTTACTCCAGACACAAGAAATGCCTAATGGGAACCTTTGTCGGGTAATCTGAGTGGTGTTATCGCTAATTGTACCTGTTATAAATTCATTAACTGACCATCAAGTGAATGATGGCAAATAACATGTGTAGGTTTACAACCAAACAAGGGTTACAGCAAGAGAGTAGTAATGGCTGTATTGCATGCAAGTCTGATTGCCTGAAGAAAACAACTTATGGGCCGACACTGTTTTGAGTTTTGAACGGAACTTCATTTCAGATGTTTTTAGCAATGGCAAAGTGGGGTTGTTTAGTTTATAGGATTCAAATATATCAAATATGTGTTTTTGATATCATAGCATAGGTAATGGACCTCATAGTTTTACATGATTAAATATCGAGGTAAAAAACACAGAAATAGGATCAAATTGGATCAGTCACTATACCATCCAAGTATTTGAAATCTGAAAAAGCCTACACTGCTGGGGTACTTTATTACAATCAGATAAGAACTACCGGGGATATTTTCAAATAACGTCATCTGATGGGCATTTACCCTTCCTAATGTCCCACTGATTAGATTGAAGAAATTCTGCCTGGTGGACAGTAACCCAGTCCCCGTGTCCGTCACGGTCGAGGGAGCAGGTAGTGATCAGCCTGCAGCTTGGTTTCGTAATTAGACTGTTGGCTAGAAACATTAATCGCTCTGGATCAGTGGCCCTTTAAGCACTCTCTTCCCATTCAAGGTCCTTTTGAAAACACCTGACACAAAGTGAGATGAACACACTCGTGTTGCATGGCTAAGCTGAAAAACACAATCACTATATTACTACATCGCTTTGTATTACATAACCAACGTTTTCTTTCACGAAACCAATAATAAAAATATCACGAATCACATGTCCAGCTAATTTGTATACAAAGCACGAAAACTGTGTACGGAAACTTTCAATAGTTAAATTTTAAGTTATAGCTACTTACCCGAAAATGTGGGCCTAACTCCCTTCTGATCTTATGATCCACTGTTTCAGTAGCTTACTGTCTGTGGGGAACTTGTGAAAAGATAAAGACTTACCCGAGTTGTATCGAGAATCATTTGTGCACTGGGGCACACATCAATGATACGCCGCCATATTGATCGCTCTGTTTGCGTTACCAGCCTCGCTCTCAGTTTCAAAATGACGTCGCGTGAATAATGTGTATTCCACATGAAGAGCATGTTCCAACTGTTGAACGTTCACTGGCTGCTGTGGTCGTTGTCGGAGTTGCCTTCCAAAATGATCCCAAACATGTTCTATTGATTTGAGGTCAGGGGAGCGAGATGGCCAGGGTAAAACTTGAATATTATTGACGTGGAAGAAATGTGTGATGATTCTTGCGGTGTGTGGCCTGGCCTTTTCTTGTTGGAAAACAGTGCATTGATGTTGCTGTGTGAATGGCAGAACCACAGGCTGCAATATATCATCCCTGTGCCGTTGTGCTGTCAGGTTTCCTTGAATTGTCACCAAACGAGTCTTCTGATCACCATAAATTCCACCCCAAACCATTATTAATAATATTAATAATAATAATAATGTGTGCATTTATATAGCGCCAAACTCCACACTAGGTATGCTCATAGCGCTAACAATCAAGGCAAAGCACATTATTACCCCGGATAACCCAAGCTGCCTGTTAGGCGCTAGAAGGTTATAGTCATATGACTTTTTTCCACCGGCTACCCATTTTCCTGCTGGTTGAACAGAGACAATTTTGAACAAACTCACTTGCCTAAGGTGAGACCACATGTGTCCCATGTGCTTCGTTGTGGGGCAGGACTCAAGTCCTAGAAACTCTCAGGAGTCAAGCTGCCAAACACCACCGCCACCTCTTGTATGCAGTTTGGAGCCAATCTTTCGCCTAGAAGCCGATAGATCCTCATTCTACGGTCAGAATGGAATAGGTTGAATCTGCTTTCATCACTGAAAAGAACTCGTGCCCATTTACGACGTTGCCACCGACGTACAGTTCTTGACCATTGCAGACGGTGCTGGAAGGTCAAGGCCATTCCACGCAGGGGTCGGTAGGACCGTATGCCAGCAGCACGAAGTGGTTTTGTCACAGTGAATCGGCTTACGCGATGACCCAATGATGTTGCTGCCGATGACGTCACCGTCAACATCCGGTTGCGTAGATGAATAACCCGCAGATAGCGATCCTCTTGGGGTGTTGTGACTCTGGGACGTCCACTTCTGGGTCGAGCACATGTCTCGCCTGACATACTGAAACGGTTAAACAGCCGAATTATGGTTTGTCTTGTGCAATGTGGCTGTTGGAAGCACCCATTTGTGACATTCCTATGGCCCGTTCTCGTTGCGCCGCCGTCAATCTTTTTTGTCAAGTGACTGTTCAGTCTTCACGACAAACAGGTTTTATACCCTCTGTAAGAAAAGTGCTCGTGCATGGGACAATAATCACAATTTTGCGAAAACACGTGCGAATGTTTTTGGTTGCATTTTGGCAAATGAAACATGATGGTTGCATTCTATACAATCAGTGTTCTTCAATAATTTTACTAGTTAGAACGCAAATTTGGAATGGCAGCAACAATTACACCTGTGTACTTTCTCTTGCTCGTCAGTTTTTTAGTTACAAGTAGGGAGAGGGAATTTTCAGCGGAAGTTTTCAGACCCAGCTTTGATTTCTTACATGTGTACAATATGTGAAGAATATTACTGTTGTCCCCAGCAGTGATATAGCCGGAATTCCTGATGCCCAGATCATGCCAAACGGAAATTCGTGTCCCTATCGAAGTGCCTGACCACCCGATCCCGTTCGTCGCCTCTTTCGACAAGCATGGTTTGTTGAAGACCCTTTCAATCCAAGAAACCTATTTGTCAGGAAACTCTCAACGCTGTTTCGGACAAACTTATTTACAAAATTCAAGATTTAATTTTATGAGTATGTACTAAAAAAGACAAAACTGAAAGAAACACCATGTCGCGAAATCAAACTTAAACCACTTCACTCAAGGCGAGACTATTTTTTTTAACCACAATTTTTTAAAAAATGTTCCCCAATGTTTTCTAAAAGATACAGATGGTTCTACCAGAAATGATTTTTGCATTTTAGAAATCCCTTTTTGCCCGGCAATGACCTGCCAGAGCAAGGAGTGTTTCTAAAATATGGGGTTTCCATAATTAATACAATATATTCAATTACATATTTAATAAATTCATTTAAGTGAAGGAATCGATTCGGCTAGGCTATCTCGCAAGATTTGATCACCCTTTGTTTAGTTACTCATCAGTTTACAACCAATAAGGCTAGCCAATGAAATCCGTAGAAGTAATCACGTGAAGTAATCCTATGCTGAATATAAATGTATGAACCATTATCACAAATATTATAAATTGAAATGGCTGGCACAATTGCTATTGCTATATGATTTGTGCTTCACTAGGTGCAGTACCCCTTGGTTGTCACAATTGCTATTGCTATATGATTTGTGCTTCGCTAGGTGCAGTACCCTTGGTTGTCACAACTGCTAAATATTTCTACATGATTTGTACCCTTGGTTGTCACAACTGCTAAATATTTCTACATGATTTGTGCAGTACCCTTGGTTCCCTAGGTGCAATACCCTTGGTGGTCACAATTGCTATTGCTGTATGATTTGTGCTTTACTCGGTGCAGTACCCCTTGGTTGTCACAATTGCTATTGCTATATGATTTGTGCTTCGCTAGGTGCAGTACCCTTGGTTGTCACAACTGCTAAATATTTCTACATGATTTGTACCCTTGGTTGTCACAACTGCTAAATATTTCTACATGATTTGTGCAGTACCCTTGGTTCCCTAGGTGCAATACCCTTGGTGGTCACAATTGCTATTGCTGTATGATTTGTGCTTTACTCGGTGCAGTACCCTTGGTTGTCACAACTGCTTTTCTCAGCACTATTGGTTTACATGTGGTGTCGCCATTTAAAACTTTTACAGGAGTTGCAAATGAGCTACTCCTACGAAGATTTCAGAGAGCGTTATACAGCTCATGCAAAAAGGCTGTCTGATCAGAGTTTTAACTTTTAAAGCCCCTTTTCAGCTCTCAGAAAGGTTTGTGGTGGACACTCTTTCGCCACAATAACCAACATTATGTCAATGCAATTCACAGTTTTGATTTGAAGCGTTTTAACATGTGTGTGGTGTTTCCAGGTGAAGAATTGACTTGGTTTTGCATGTGTTTATGGAGGTTGCCATGAACGGCAAAGGCTTCCTTTGTTCGGACTTTCGCAGCAAAATTGTCAAGCCACGATGTAACCAAAATACTATTTAAGCAGCGTTACTCTCACTCACTCACCATTTCAGTGAAAAAAAAAGAAACATCTCTCCGGTCAAATATTTTTATTCATAACACCGAGCAGGCCAAAGACTTACACCATGCATATTGCTTCCAACTAGTATAGTATCCTCATTTGACAGTACTACAAAAATCAAGTTCGATGGTAATAATATTAACAAGGACAAATTTTACATGATTACTGTAATATAAACTGTCATTGTTCTGTTTAGTTGCATATGTCGATCAGCAAAACATAATATGTAGAATTGTCTCATATTGTTAACACACAATGGGCAGAAAATAAAAAGTACTCCATTCCCTTAGTATTATCGAAAGTGCAAAACTTGTAAATCTTTTTCTGCTCAATATCATGATACACGGTAGACCACATTAGATATTAGGTCTCGCCAGCTCCACGGGACCGATAGGATAATACCACCCACAGGATCCAGTTTGTTTGCTGGACCCTGGACAAAAGCATGGGTCATAAGGAAGGATAGAAGCATCAACTGGAACCAGACTGAGTGGCTTCTGTAACTCCGCCTGTCTGCGACCACGCCATATGTTGTTGCGGCAGTAGCGATAGCGGGTTCTAATGCCGGACACACAGCTACCCCAGGACCCCCAGCTGGACCAACTTTTGTTACACCCAGGGCAAGGGCGACTCTGAGAGCTCTGACCAGTGCAGCCACAGGGCTTGCATGAGCGTTTCCTTCTCTGTCTGTTGAAGATGCATGCGCCCCACGACGACCAGGCCCCCCAGGTGGCCGTGATATGTTCCTTCCAGTGATTGAGGTTAATTTCAGGCAGAGAACTGCATGGGACTCTGGAAGATGGGAAAAATTCATAACAGTCTTTCACAATAAGTGTAAATAAGAAAACATGTCTGCAGTATACTTAGCTATAGATATTGAAAGTGAAACCTCACAGTATTTATAACTGCTTTATTGAACAGATATTGTATGAAGAATACTTACGGAGTTCCTTTGACGAACGCGTTCTTCTGGATCTTGAAGGTGTCCGTATTGTCACAAACTACTCTGGACAGACTCGCCTTCCGGATCTCATTCAGCTGGTCTGATAACACATCAGTATGTAATTGTAAACATGAAACAAGCCCATACATAAGTTAGCCTTATGAATGAATTTTGTTATGGATTATATATTTGTTCAGAAACTGCTTCGAAACGTACAATTTTCTTCCAGGGGAATTTCCTTTTTACAAAGAGATACCTGTTTACACATCAGCAACCGGTTAAATTTTATGTAAAACCTGAAGTACACTTACACCTCACGAGTGGTCATCGCATGTTTCCAATAATCGTCTCTAACGACTGAAATTGCTTTTACGCCGTTTTTAGCAATATTCCAGCAACATCACGGCGGGGGACACCAGAAATGGGCTTCACACATTGTACCCATGTGGGGATTCGAACCCGGGTCTTCGGCGTGACGAGCCAACGCTTTAACCATTAGGCTACCCCACCGCCCCGTCTCTAACGACAGCAGAATTACATCAACAGAGAAAGCTCTCGAAAGTATAAATACCATTTTCTTTTGCCCGTCTCTTTAAACATATAACGCTGCATTATGTCATGAAAAATAGTTACACCGTCTACCCACAATAATGGAGAAAAGAGTATTTTTCTATGAATATTACATTCTGTGTTGTGCAGCCAGCAAGATTTGATTTAAATGAAAATAATGTATGTCAAAACCACCATTAGGTATATGAGAATCCAGTGTTTTCAAAATTCAGACTCACTCGGAGTAAATTTGACATAAGCGTTGTTTTCTTCAAACCAGAATCGGTCTCCTTTCTTCAGTGCCTGGAACTGTTTCCCCAGGAGACAGGTGAATGTGGGACCCAGAAGTCCTCCTGGAACAGGTGTCTCTGACAGAGCCCCAGGAAACAGGTCGATGTCGTGGATGTGTCTGTAATAGACATATGCCTATAGATCGGTGTGACTCGCGTCTACAGAAATTCCTGTCTCTGTTGTAGTTGGGTTCGGTCGGTTGTTTTACGCCGCGCTCAGCAATATTCCAGCTATATGGCGGCGGTCTGTAAATAATCGAGTCTGGACCAAACCATCCAGTGATCAACAGCATAAGCACCAATCTATGCAATTGGGATACGATGACATGTGTCAACCAAGTCAGCGAACCTGACCACCCGATCCCGTTACTCGATCGCCTCTTACGACAAGCATGGGTTACTGAAAATCAATCCTAACCCGGATCTTCACGGGTTGTTACTTTTGTACTTGTCACCACTAGTTGTGGAAATTACCGACGTGGTCAATTCCCGTTTCAGTTAAATCTCGCGACAAGTTCTGACGCTAACCCTATTGGGACAAGAGTAGAAACGCAGAACGTGTTTCCCTTCATTCAAGTAAGCATGTATCAACATATAGTTCGGGTTTAGTATTTACAACACAGGACTCAGGGATATTCTCACTATACTAACAGGACACCAGAAACTTTTAACTTAGTGTTATTAATAGTCATTGTTTAAAATGTTTTAACAACAGCCCAGCTCTATGAAACCACAAATGGAGTCATGTTGGAATTCGAACGTGACGAGCGAACGTATCATCAATGAAGCAAACAACAAACACTTGTCTTAAATTGCAAGAAAGATTGTCTACATCAAATGATGTACCAACAAATTCATTTTCATACATTGCATTACAATCAAAGGAAGTAGTTTCAGAGAAGTATATGTAAATGTATATCTGTACATTAGCGCTTTACACCCTAATATAATCGAAAGCAGGTTCTTTTGAAAAGGGTCTCCACTCACTTGTACACTTTCTTCAGAAGGTTCACCGCAGCTGTTGTGTGAGTGGCGGGGGAGAGATCAGAGAAGGATGTCGCTGTTGGAATGTTACAGTACTTCCTCCACTTGGTGTAAGACGGGAGCCCGTGGTCTCTCCCTCTCTGGATGTTGAGAGCTGCCAGGTCAAGACTGTTGCCGTTACTGTCGACAAACAACCTGTCCGTAACCTCCTGTGTCAGTTTGTGATCTGTGTTCTGAACACTGTCCTTGACCAGTCCTCTGCAGTAATGACCAACCTCCCTGTTGTTGACGTTCAGAATGAGATTCGTCTTACCGAAGATCTTGCTGAGCTGGTCCTGGCCGAGATAACTAAATGAAGAGCTGTAGCTGGCAAAGTGGCTGTGGATCATGGAGTGTCCCATCCTGAAAGCCGCAGTAGCGAAAGCGTTCCTGATGCTGGCGTCCGTCGTTGTGCTGTAGACGTTGGCGTACGTACTCCCAGATCCAATTATTGCCAAGCCATACTTGATCATGGCTTGTTTACCCATGATGATAGGCAAGTATTCACCGTACGTGATTTTCTGAATTTAAATTTGATATATAATTGCATTTCCTTTCTCAAAGGGTCATTCTCAGTGTATACTATGTGTCTATACTATACGGTGTCTAGTATGTAAAATCAAAATTTGAGATATTTGCGCTGGTGATCATGATCATGAGTTTGGTATTTCGATACATAAACAGTACTTCAGACTATCTCTGGTTGTCAGACTGTGAAGAAAGTCTAATGTGATTCAGATTTACACTGTGACTATTATCCTGAAATCTACGAGATGGAACAGACGGACCAAAAATCATTTGAGTGAAAACGATATTCGAACCCCGAACTCTACACATCGATATTTTCCTGTGTCACATTGATAGTTGATATAAGTTAGTTAGGAAGTACATATTTGCCGGATTGAAAAACAGTAACTCAAGATGAATAGAATGTTCGCACCTGTGCTATCGCGCCGACTATCCTCCTGGATTCCTGGAAGAGTTTCTCATCGTTCCAGTGACAGTTGAGGGCTTTTAGTTTTGCAGCTATTCGGTTGTGTTCCTTTGCGAAGATGGTGTGCGTGCTCTGAAGAGTTGGGTTTTCATTCACTCGATGATCACCTTGACGGATAAAAAATAAGCGTTGAAAACAGTATTGCCTCAAGCATTTTGGTGTTATCGAAATTGAAAGGACAAAACACAGAGTTGCCACCAGTATTGAAATCTCCTGTCTGCAGTGATTCATGAAGTCCATTAGATAGTTCAGTCCAATAGCACGTAAGGTGACAATTCTGTGTTTAATTTTCAACGTTCTGCGATCAAATGCTCTAAGATAATGAGTTTAAAATGGGCAGCAGTCACTGCTAATAGCATGTGATAACACAATATCTGATTCCGTTGAATGCACAATGTTTACTGCAGGTACTTTGATAGAAGAAATGTGATGCTCATGCTGTTGATCACTGGTTTGTCTGGTCCAGACTCGATATGACCGTCTCCATATAGATGGAATATTGCTGATTGTGAAGTAAAACTCAACTCACTGACTCAGTCACTCAATTTAACCCTATCCGCTCGTCCTACCTGCTAGGAAACAGTAGTTTGGACTGTTTGGTGTGGTACAACTACGTTGAGAATCGGCAGGCAAGTGTGGAGATTTCATCTTGAGTTGACCTGAAAAAGGTTTCGGTGTAATCGTGCCAATTTCTTCTTGAAAGTTGCGATTGATAATGGACTTTTTTGTTGTCATTCTTTGAATAGAAAACTGTTTATTTCAGGTTTAACTGAAGAAAGCTTGTAGGGTCTCACTCAAAATGATTAGTTGTGCTTCATGAGTATTGGCTACATAACGCCCTTGCCGTAACCTCCAAGAACACTCTCCCCCCTCTCGATGAATGTGATGTGCGGAAACACGACAAACCAATCAGAACGCACGTAATGATTTCGGTACTTTGATAAAATTAATCCCAAGTATTTAAATCGTGTATGGCATTACGTGATTGTTTAAGAATTCATGAAAAATATACTATTAACAAAAAATATGGGAACACCCTAAAATTTGATAGTCGTATATAAACTGAAACTTGGTGAGGTCATTTATATTCTAAGGTAAATGTAACTTTTTGTGTGCTTAATAGGCACTTTAAACGACATGTTGGAACATGCAGTGAAGCAACTGATTCAATATTCGTTGAGTTTGAGTGAAATGAAACATTGTTAAAAACAGCGAAAAACAAGGGTACTGAAACACACCAGCACCATGTTTGATTCAAACGCCCAAACACAACAGCCTAGTGCATGTGGAAGACAGACTTCCCATGCAACTTGTGGCAACTAGGCACTGGCAGTTGTGAATCGGGTCCGAAGGGCTTGGGACATAACATATCGGTCATCTGCCCTTGATATTTTTATGGGTATTCCAGAGCGAGGTCTGTCCTTTACTCTACCAGTGGCAGGAACCTGTCCCTCAGTCTGTGAATGACAGAGGGAGACACCTGAAGACGGAGAGCAACACTTCTTTTGGATTCACCATCCTGTAACCATGCAATGGTCCTGCTTCTGTTGCGGGCGCTTAACGGTTTGCGCTGTGGCATGGTGGAGAAGATGTAGCTTCTTTTAAAGGAAACGTTGCTACAAGCTGCATGGGAGGTCTGTCTTCCACATGCACTAGGCTGTTGTGTTTGGGCGTTTGAATCAAACATGGTGCTGATGTGTTTCCGCACCCTTGTTTATCGCTGTTTTAACATTGTTTGTTGTTGATTCAAACTCAACGAATATTGAATCAGTTGCTTCACTGCATGTTCCAACATGTCGTTTAATGTGCCCATTAATCACACAAAAAGTTACATTTACCTGAAGAGTATAAATGGCCTCACAACGTTTCAGTTTACATATGACTATCAAATTTTTTCCCTGTTTTCCCATATTTTTTGTTTGTAGTATATATATCATCATATAAAAAGTACAAACAACATAGGTAACAAAATTGTGATGCCTAATGTGAAGTTTTTAATATGGGTAGGGCCATGAGAGATTCAAATACACGCACATGCGTGTGTTTAAATTACGGCTCTCTTGGGCTCAATTGAGGCTTGTTTGGGTGATTGTACGTTCGCTTTTCGACGTTTTAGGATATGTATGTATGCATGCATGCATGCATGCATGTATGTATGCATGTATGTATGTATGTATGTATGTATGTATGTATGTATGTATGTATGTATGTATGTATGTATGTATGTATGTATGTATGTATGTATGTATGTATGTATGTATGTATGTATGTATGTATGTATGTATTTATCGCTACGAGTTTCAAAACAGTTATATTATGTAACTATATCTATATGTAACTAGTCAACTTTAATCTTTCACATTGGGTTTGTGTTTCTGCAGCCACTTTGGTCTGACTTTTGGGTGGTCATTAATATTTATTTCAGCGTATTCATTTTAAAATCTACCAGGGGTATGGCAGCAATGTTACACGAATGTATAGTTTGAGAAATAGAAATGACGTCACTTCATTCCATCCCTCTAGTTATTGATAACAAACTGTTTATATTATAATCAATGGAAATCGGATATACGTTTTGAAGACCAGTTAGCAAAACTCCAGGTAAAAAAGTTTGGTATATCTCTCTCTCGCTTTCGTTGCTCTGAAATAGTTATTGAAACTGGCGGGTATGCAGAAACATCAAAGAGAAAACAAAATATGTCAACTATGTAATATGAATACTGTTGAGGATGAATTACATTTCCTTCTAATCTGTCCTATCTATAAGACTCTACGAACCAGATACCTAAAGCCATACTATTGTAAGCATCCAAGTGTAAAGAAAATTAATTTGATTGTTAACAGGTACTACCACATTATTATTACAGAATCTGGCAATGTACATCTATTTCACTATGAGTTTAAGAAAAATTATTGTTATAGAAAAGAATTCGTAAATGACTTCTAACTAATCATGTAAACATAAAATGTACTACAGGCCCGTGACCTTTTACGTACTGAATAAAGATTGATTGATGGCGGCATTGTTAGATGTCTAATCAGATAGTATGGGACAATGTTTGTCATCCGAAAATCCACACCATTGTCTTATCCAGTAATAATAATAATTATTAGTAATCAGGGCTCCCCTGATAATATGAACTGAACTCACATTGCTGAAGGTTGCAAATAGAAATAAGCTAGATGGTCCGTTGTTGTATTTATGTAATTCAGAGTCACGAGTATTATGTATAAAATGTATACAATATACATATCGTGAGTCATATCTGAGGACATGTGGGAAATGAAATTATTCCTTCGATGGAACTGACAGTCCGTACATATCCTTACCGTTCACAAATGTTCGTAGTTTGTTCTGTTCCGTCTGTGAGGACCCGTACACATTTGAAGCGTCTATGTAGGCTGTGATCTGGTTCAGCTGTTCCACGGGAACTGGAACAGGCATATTCATATATTGTCACTTTTCCACTGTGTGACATAGTGTCTGTTTTTTTCTATTTATGCCCTTGTATTTGGAATTGTTGAATTCCAAGTCTGTGTCCCCAACTCACAACAATACAGCTATCACGATATAAAGTTTTATGACTGACTGACTGAGTTTGGTTTTACGCCGCTTTTACGCCGCAATATTCCAGCAACATCACGGCGGGGGACACCAGAAATGGGCTCCACACATTGTACCCATGTTGGAACCACTAGGCTACCCCACCGCCCCAGTTTTATGAGATTCCAATAGTATGTATGTCACTGATGATATTACTTGCTTGTGTGTGTCATTGATGACATTACCTGCTTGTGTGTGTCATTGACAACATTACCTGCTTGTTGTGTCATTGTTGATATTACCTGCTCGTGTCATCATCATTGACTGTATTACCTGATTGGCAGTCAGCGTTTGCTACTTGGACCGAGCGCACAAAGTTCATACAGGTGGACTTGAAGTGTCTGTCGGGTTGCGGGATGACGATGGGGAAGCACTGGGGCCTGAAAAGACAGACACTGACCGGTACAACATAGCACAGGATGAATGTGGATGATTGTACATTTGTTCAGACTTTTAAGATTGCTGAGGAAGCATGAATGATTCCATCATTAAGACCTGGTCTATTCAGCTCCAATCTTCAGCAAATCTTCACCTGGTATTAACCATAAGACTGTACTACGAAAATCACATAGGGAGCAAACCATAGACACCACTGTTAATTATAAATTGTAAAACTGGATTGCCTGAATTAAGTACACATTAATAATCATACATAGTAAGTGACCTTTCCATTTCACTGTTCAAATTGTATTATAATTAAAGGAAGTAGTTGTAAACTCGTAACGCACAGGTCCAATACAATACGAATAGACATTGGCGCATATTTCAACATTATGGCACCCAATGCATTGTTAAAATACATTTACAAAATATTCATAAAATACGAAGTCATGTTTAAACAAAACTGAATTCTTATGCATAACTATTCGATTTGTGTTCGCGATCTCATGAATGTTTTTTTTTTTAAAAAGCCACCTTACAAAGCTGTAGTATGACATTTTTGTACTCATTTTCGTCCTAAAATCTAGTTGTTTTCTATCGTTATCGTTGATCATAAAGGACCAAAACGTCGCATGGATATGTAAACACAGACAATGGTTTGGTACCTATATACAAATGTGAATTTCCCACCTGTTGATGACAGATGGTTGTACAAATGCAGCAGCTCTTTTTCCTCGATGAACAACAGAATGACAACACCCAATAGAAGAGCCGCCATACGAACCTATATCGAAAATGATGATCATGTTAATTATTATTATGATTTAATCTGAGTGAGTTAGTGAGTTTAGTTTTACGCCACTTTTAGCAATATTCCAGCAATATCACGGCGGGGAACACCAGAAATGGGCTTCACATATTGTACCCATGTAGGGAATCGAACCCGGGACTTCGGCGTGACGAGCAAACGTTTTAACCACTAGACTACCCCACAGCCCCACCATCTGAACTGTTCTATGGACTTTAAGCACCGTTCTCATGATCACGGAAAGGATTTTCTTGTTTTTACTTGAACAGACGAAAGATGATGTTGTGCAATCATGATATACTTTAATCATAAGCACTAGTTGCAAAATACAGAAATCGATATATTGCATTCACGTGCCCCCGATTCACGTTGAGATTGCCACTTTCCTGCAACAAAAACGGCGAAACCGCGCTATCGATGGTTCAAGGGAGGGTACTCTCTCTCACTACATTTGAACTGAACAACATAAACAAGCGTTGTCGACAAGAAGTCAACAATATCTGACGAATTAAATATTCATAGATACAATCTAAGGGTCACTTGTTGATACAAAATACATGAAATAGTTACTACACAGTAAAGCAATTATAGATAATAAGATTTTTGTAGTTTTATGCCTTTTTAAAATGAGTACCCACTCACAATAATCTCTACAGAGATAAAAATAAGAAGGCTCACATTTCTGTTTTCATTTTGATGTATACAGCTTAGTTGCTGATATCGTATGCAAAAATGATACCCCAAAAATTGTGTAATAGTTCTAATGATGAATCGAGTAACGCAGTTTATCACTTTGAAGATCAGGGTTAGAAGTTGTCTTCAGTAAAACATGCGTAACAGAATCGGTGGTCAGCTTCGCTGACTTGGTTGACACATGTCATCGTATCCCAGTTGTGCAGATCGATGTTCATGCTGTTGATGACTGGACTGTCTGGTCCACACGCTATTATTAACAGACCGCCGCCATATAGCTGTAATATTGCTAAGTGTGGCGTTAAACAACAGTACAGTCAACGACCAACCAACTCAGCGCCATGATTTTTCTTTCTCGAATACGAAATTAATAAGCATAATAAGTACTATTCAGACAGTTCGGTGCATGTAAGAACGACAGTTTAGAATTGAAACTCGAATAGAAATCATTTTAAACTTTGCTTAGCGAGACGTTGTTGCCGGCTTCGGCAATGGAAAAACAAACACTAAGGTAAATTAATATTTTTTTCACAAAATACAATTATACTGTTACTACCAGACAGTTGTTGAGTGGGTGTGCTGGTGATGTCGTGATCCAGGAACTGACCCCACTGCATCAGCATGTGAGTGTAAGAGGCGTGCCGGTCAGCGTTTGTTGATGGGGTGTGGACGGTCGTGCTGACCAGGCGGGCACTTGGTAACTTTGTGTTCCACCCCTGGGTGGCTTTTTCTCGTGGAGAGGAGATACCTAAAACAGATACCCAATCATAATCAATCGAATAATGAGATGGTAAGCACCGTGTTTCCCAAATACATATCGAGCCAGATTGCCATGGTATGATGCATACCCTTCATGGTAAAACCAGGTGTTCATTTCCACAAAGAGGTGCACACCTATCCATACCCATCACAACTTGAAATAGTAACATTTCATTTTCATGGTATGTGAGCTTAATGCGGAATGAAAGTTAAAATTAATACAGATCTTACACGTCTTGGTGACACCACCGAGCACGGATATGGTACCCACGGACACAGAATCATTTTTAGGACGAATCGGGCAGAGAATAACACAGTGGGCCAACAAAACTACAATGTGACATATTTACCGTCATCATATGCTGGGGACAACCATCGTCTCATTGGAATGGATGCCATGCCCCAACTTGGGTTCGCGAGGTTGTTGCAGGAACCATCAGCTGTTCGGTACTTGGAGGACGTGCTACACTTTACGTTGGAACCGCAGTTGAGCTTTGAACCGAAACCACTCTTCAGCACCGATGGAACAGCTGCTCCGGACACGTTCGCCCTGCATTCATCAGTAAACCATGTAAATGTTCAATCTCAAGAACTGCTGATATTTAACGAGCAGTTTTTTATTGATCCCAACTTAACATGGTACCCAAAATTAGACAGGTTGTAATCATAAGTGTGTGCAACATTAATGTACGATTAGGGATGATTACAGTTATGAATCCGTGAAGACCAGGTTTAGAATTTATCTTCAGCAACCCATGCTTGTCATAAGAAGCGACTAACGGGATCGGATACGATCTCGCTGACTTGGTTGACAAGTCATCGTATCCCAATTGCGTAGATCGATGCTCATGCTGTTGATCACTGGATCGTCTGGTCCAGACTGCCTCCATATAGCTGGAATATTGCTGAGTGCGGCGTGAGAGATTATAGAAACGATTTAAATCTAATCCGTAGATCAGTCACATGATAAATACTGTAAATCAACAAACTAATGCGTGTATTAAATAATGCGAGTGCAAACCTCAAAACGAAAATGCGTGCATTTATTAATGCGAGGAGGCAAATCAGGAAATGGTTGACCAGAATGACTATACTCACTAATGACTACACTCACAGTATATGTATACACAAACATCCCCAAATTAGAAATATTTCAGTTTGAACGGGCGCTTGGTGGGGCCCCGTTGGAAAATCTACACACGCGATATCATAATGGACAATAGGTGTTTAACTGTTGTGAACGTAGTTGAGCTAAAGAATCTGTTCATTTTCGGAGTACGAACTATTCAAACCACTCACTGCAACTACTGAGCGACACAGTGGCGACATATAAGCTTTCCGTTCTTTTTGCGTTCAGATTTGCAATTTAATTATTCCTTGGGTGGGGGTGTTTGTGTCAGTTGATCCACATAGTAATATTGACGTTTGGTATGGTTCAATATGGCTGAAATATTACCAAATCTCATTAATGCGTAGCGTGTCCATGAATCACTGGTCTTTTATGAAAAATATTTGTGTCTATCCGGGAATAGATTACTTCCCTAGCTGTCGAAGCTGCAGAGCAATATTGCACAACGCCACCAATGCCCACGTTCAAATGAATATCTTATACCAAAACCGCCCACGCCAGTGCACACACATAGATTGACGGGCCCAGATTGACCGAGGTCATAATATCTGCGTCAAGCGATCAGGATGTGAAAACAAAGGGTACCGAGAACAATGAGGAATCGGCTAACTTGGTACATGGGATGCAAGGTCAGCATACTTGTCACTTTTTTCCTGAACCTTGCCAACCACTGTCAAAATTGACTGAAATAAATTATTTCATTCGTGTCATCAAAAAGGACTAAATCAGGATTGTTGGCTTGGATCCTCGGGCTCTATTTCAAAGAAATAATGTAGTTCTATGACCTCCGATCCTCTACATATTGTGAGTAGTACCGTGGATGGACCTCCGAGTCAAAACCAGGCCACAAGCAAGGCGAAGACGGCAAGAAATTGATCGAACCTGACCATCATGTCTCTTTAAATACTATGTGTTAAGGCTTGGCATCCGGTCAAAAGGTGTACCTGCAGAGAGCCTTACAGAGTTATTTTATATGGCTCTTCGCTCTTTGGTGACACTCATTTCTGTACCTCCAAGGAGAATTGAACCATCAACAAATCACTATATGTCATTGGGATTGTGACCAACATCCTTGGCTCTTTCAAGATAACTGTGGAGTGCCTTGTTTCCATCATGTGTTTTGGCATTTTTCACAAGAGTATCACCAGACAAAAAAATGTCTTCAAAAGTGCACGTGAAGAACTCTGACGTGTTAAGTAGGTATACAAAACAGCTGTTGACGGGTGGCAGGCCTAGGATGGTTTTCACGAACACGTCGTCCCAAAATGTCCCCGACATGTTCAATTGGGGCGAGGTCAGGAGAATAAACTGGCCATTGCATTCACTGAACACCTTTATTGCTGAGCAAGTCTGTAACAACACGATGAGGTCTGGCGCTATTATATTGAAGTATTCTGCCTGGTCAAATAGCGCTAAGAGCAGGAATGACAAGGCGTTCCACAATCTCGTCCCTGTAACGAATGCCAATCAGATTGTCTTCAACGTGATAGAGGGGGTTATGTGAGGCAACCTGAAGCCGCCCCAGACCATCACAGACCCATCGCCGAACCTGTCATGCTCACGGACTGCGGAATCCCGGGACCGTTCACCACGAATGCTCCCATCCTGGAACGTTAAATTGAAGCGTGATTCATCCGTGAACAAAACTTGAGACCAATCACGACGATTCCAACGCATATGGACATGGCACCATGCCCGTCGTGCTTCTTTGTGACGTTGACGATTTGGTCTCACCACAGGACGTCTGCTACCGATACCAGCAGCACGAAGACGGTTCCGAATTGTCTGTGCGCTGACGTTCACATGTGTGGCATGTCGGAGACGTCGTCGAAGGGCATTAGCAGTTGTTTTGATGAGCTTTTGTGCCGTCACAACAACATAACGGTCGTCAGACCTTGAAGTGGATCCTGGTCTGCCTGGGCGTGGGTGTGGGCGTTCCTGCAACCTCCCAGTTACCTGAAATCGTTCCCATAGTCGATGAATTACGGCTGTGGTGGACCAATTTTTCTAAGGCTAACTCCTTCTCGATGCCACCCGATAGCTCGTCCACGGTCTTCAATGCTCAGAGGTCGATGCACCATGTTGAATAACACAATGAAGAATGTCCAAATGTCTGCAACTCCAGTTTCACATCCACGGGAGCAATTGTTACTCATGAATCATGCAACGCACGAGCGTGCGTTTTGCGCTTTGGCAGATACACTCATTCCATATTATCCATGTTTGCATTTGAACAAATTTTCATTTGTTTGTGGTAATAATGACGGGCGCCAAAACGCAACCAGTATGAGCACAGGTTTCAATAACAAGTGTTAGTATAGTCTGAAAATAGTGTCAAACAAAATTAGTACTGGAAAGGCTACGAAATCCCATTTCTGGGGTCCTTTTGAGATTCTTCTCCTTGACCTTAACATCTGTATTTTCGAAAGAAAACACCTCTGAACGTTGTTTTGGTGCATCATTTATTGTTTACCGTTTGCATTAAAGACGAAGTGTACATTGTAAAGGGTGTTCCAATACTCGTTTGAATGAGTATTTAAACAACTGAGGGCTCTATTGTGTGACATGATTCTTCTGGTGTTGGTGTCAATACTCTTAATTTCTGGTTTCGTCCAATCAACAACACTAAAATAATATGAGAAGATGGGTGCAGCATACGTATTTGTGCCTTGGACTTGTTACGAGCGTCCAGCTCTGAGGTCAAGATTTTCGTAAGTCCTCTTTCTTCTGAAAATGATATATTTGTCGTGCTCAGAGGACATACCGATGTCATTAAAGGACTCGACATGGTGAATCTGTTTTCCAGTGTTTAGTCTCCTTTGGCAACAAGTTCAAGGTGGTCCCTGTAAAGATGATGAGTAAGAGGTTTGGAGGATCTGTGCTGAGGAGACCCAGGATGGTAACCGTCCTCTTTATAGAGCAAAACGGTTAACAGATTCAGTGGCAGACAGAAAACGAAGGACTAAGGGTAGACCGAAATGTTTCATTCCTAATAGAAATGGGTTCAGCATATGTCGTTGCGAATACATCTCAAGATGAGATGACTTCCAATACATTGACGACTAGGATAGAATAAGTAATCGTTCAGTGATGCCAAGACATTCTAGCGGCCGGAGTTGTTGATAATATTTTATCTAATGACTACATTTTAATTGTCCCAAATTCAAAGCTTTTAACTTTAAATTTGATTTAGCATTTTTTCTTTTGTTGTTTTGTATTTTGTTTTAATTTTTTTAAGTTGATTTTTGACGTTCCGTTATTGATTTTCCTGAAATTAATTTCAATCAAAGCTTTTTGCCAGAACTTTACTGTTTTTCTTTAGATGTTTTTTAATTTTTACCATTTTGTGGCTCTTCGTCATCCGAAACTGTCTGGAGCAGCACACACACAACAGCCGATGTCGTGCAAAGACATGTCCGCATTAAGATTGACAGAAACAATTTGATTCAAATTATTCATTTGATTCTGTGCAAAAGATTTGTCAATTTTTTTGGTTTAGTTTTTAGTATTATATCATATTGTTTTACAGATGAAAATAAACTGCAGCAGAGAGGTTGGGTTGTCCTGACACAGGTTCATCATCAGCTCATGTACCCTTGCTGAGGGAAGATCAAAGCAACAGGTGATACATGCAAAAGAATATAAAGTTTACAGGTCCATATTATTTTCCAGGTATACCTTTATAACTATAATACTAAATGGTATGAATGGTGTTTGATTAATCATTCAATTCTGAATTATGCTTACGCCTTCAGCAACTGTGAAGCTTGGAGGACATTGATACGATGATTGTTTCCCTTCTCTATGCTCTCAGGTGATGAGAATGTGAACTGGTTGAGCTGATCAGTTGTAGAGCCGGGTTCAGATGCCGCTTGGTCTGTTGAGAGACACATTAATCAAATGTTGTGTTTGTGGGAATAAACGTTCACTTGTTAGATTGTTGCTTTAAATTATTAAAACTATTGTATTACACACATTTCAGCTAAGTTAATAGGAGCACACACAGAATCATTTGTTTTGTAGACAGATATATGGATGTGGCAATGCTTGTAGGACTGACATTTATACCATCTGAGGCCTTCATTTTCATGCTTCATAGCAAAAACTATCCGTGAAGATCCGGGTTTAGAACTGGTCTTCAGCAACCAATGCTTGTGGTAATAGGATTCTAACGGGATCTAGTGGTCAGATTCTCTCTCTTGGTTGACACATGTCATCGTATCGATGATAGCGTAGATCGATGGTCTTGCTGTTGGTCACTGGATTGCCTGGACTAGACTAGATAATTCAAAGACCGACCCATATAGATGATATATTGCTGAGTGCGGCGCTAACTAAACAACAAACAAACAAATCATAGCAAAAGCAGTCACGGAGAGATGCAAACAGTATTTCACCAAGAGATGCAAACAGTATTTCACCAAGAGATGCAAACAGTATTTCACCAAGAGAGTGGCATCTTACCTAACTCCTGAAAGGAACTTTCTTGACTCTGTTCCGCCTCAAGCTGAACTTCGGCCTGGGAAAGAGCAGCTTGCTGTTTGGCTGCATTAAGGTTGACGCTCGCAGCTTGGACTTCCAGGGAGGACAATGCTGCATCAGAGTTTGCTACCATCAGCAACAGAATCAGCTGTGAAATAAGCACTGCCGGCTTCAGCATTGTGGTTCTGCGTGATGAAAATAGAACAGTGTTTACATTTAAGGTAGATACTATTATTCACAAAGTTGTTTTTTGTAGATTGTAGAGGATCCGGGTACAAATTAATATAATTATACAACTATATATAATCGAGAAGAATGCATCGCCAGGAACAGCAGAACATGTTAATTATAATGTATCTTAGTGATATTTATTGATATGAGTTTACGAACTTAAATACATAAAGTGACTCGCTTTAATAAAATAATATAGCAATGTTTGCTTTATTATCAAAAACTGCAAAATTAACTCATTGTCTTTAAGAACCAAGCATCTCGCAGTTTTAGTTCTTTTAATTCATTATATTGATCATTGGCGTAGTCTATGTACATTGCATCGATGTATACAGTATATACTGGTACGTGACGATTCTTAAGTTGAAATTACTATAAAGGGTAACCCGAAATCTGTACAAGGAATTGGTTGGAAAAAATACACGAAAGAAGTTTGATACAGTTAAAAGGTGTATTCTAAAATTATTGAGTTCCAAATCTATACAAATCCCTCAAGAGCAATTACAAAGACAGACTGAGTATAAGTACAGTACCTATAACTACTATAACTGGTAAGCTATCGTCACTCTGCTGCTCGTTGTAATGTGAGATGGAATGTGAGACGACCGAGGCAAGAACGCACCCCTTTTGTTAGTCTGTCTTACAGTCCCTGAACCATATTAATTTGCCCAATGCTTAGGCATCCCTGCAATGCTAAAGACCTAAATGAAGCAAGTCTAGATTTCTTCAGGTTCAGGGCTGAATCTCTGGTCTGCCTTGGGCTCCTTTTCAATTTAAATGGGTTTATTTGCTACTATCAAATTTACATGTATTCAGTGACTAAACGTTAGTCTACCTTTTTGTATGTATAGGAAGAATCCAGAAGTTGTATTCTGGAACATTCTCTAACTCGCTAGGACAGACAACGCTTGAATATTTGAGATGTTTTAGAAACTTCCAGATCAGGCTTGACTCCGAGTATAAGTATGACGCCTAACATACACATGAGCTCGAATAAATCTCATCAGGAAGAATGTAATGCAAATACACTCTTCAACAAAAGAAACCAATAGGCCAAAAATAATACAATGAATACAACTGGTTCATAACATCACATGTGTAATTTTTCTGAACTGCATAATTCATTTTGCAGACAACATGTTATCGATTTGCCGTCAATGAGTATACGATGCCGTCATTATACATACGAGCCTCAAAATGATGACAGGTATATTTGTACATAAAGGATATCAACGAAAATAAACATAACAGACAAATATCACAAATTCCTTCACAACTCAAAACATCTTAAGGACTTATAATGTGAACATTTTATACATTCTATTTTCTATTTCTGAAACTAAATAACCCCGTTGATATACTTGGTCCCCAGTGTCACGGGTCGTAAATCGAGCCTTGTCATGGTTCAGTGACCGTAGGGCCCTCCCGCTCCTCGCTGCTCGACAGTCGGTACAACTCGATATCTTGGCTCTCGGTGCTCATTTGTACATAACTAACTTAACACTGGTTACTCGCTCTACAGAACATTGATTTAGTTAACCCACAGATGAGAGCTGGTCTCAGCTAAGCCTAAACTGGATTCCTTTGCATCTTCTTGATTGTCTTGCCAGAGAGTGTGAATACATGACACGTTTTTCTGGATAACAACTTATGTTTCTTTTTCATACGCCGTTTCAGAACTAATTCTTGATCTTTCATCATCTTTCACCTGATGAAAGAGCAGGACTTAGCACTGAAACGTCGGATAAAGAATAAACAGAAGTCACCTAATGAAAGAGCAAGACTGAGCACTGAAACGTCGGATAAAGAATAAACAGAAGTCACCTGATGAAGGATCAAGACTGAGCACTGAAACGTCGGATAAAGAATAAACAGAAGTCACCTGATGAAAGAGCAAGACTTAGCACTGAAACGTCGGATAAAGAATAAACAGAAGTCACCTAATGAAGGATCAAGACTGAGCACTGAAACGTCGGATAAAGAATAAACAGAAGTCACCCGATGAAGGATCAAGACTTAGCACTGAAATGTCGGATAAAGAATAAACAGAAGTCACCTGATGAAAGAGCAAGACTTAGCACTGAAATGTCGGATAAAGAATAAACAGAAGTCACCTGATGAAGGATCAAGACTGAGCACTGAAACGTCGGATAAAGAATAAACAGAAGTCACCTGATGAAAGAGCAAGACTTAGCACTGAAACGTCGGATAAAGAATAAACAGAAGTCACCTAATGAAGGATCAAGACTGAGCACTGAAACGTCGGATAAAGAATAAACAGAAGTCACCTGATGAAGGATCAAGACTAAGCTCTGAAACGTCGGGTAAAGAAACGACAGAAGTCACCTGATGAAGCAGCAAGAATCAGCTCTAAAAACGTCGTATAAAGAATAAACAGAAGTTGTTATCCAGAAAAACGTATTATGTATTCATGTTCGTCCAACTTCTAAATGCCTTTCAAGAACTTATCAGAGAGTGGTTTTAGCTACCTTCGTATATTTGCTCATGTTTTGTTAGTCAGCGACCCCTGTCAGTATTAACAGGGATCTTAGATCTCTTCCCTGTCTTTAGTTACTTTTAGCTGCTAATAATATACCTGTCACCTTTTACCATGTTTTCAAGCATTACTTTTCCTATGTAGTGACAATGACACCCAGCAGACAATGCTGGTCTTAAGAGTCGACCAAATAGATGACGTGGTCAGGTTCGGTGGCCTTGTTTGATAACGTGTCATTGCATCTCTCAGGCGTTGACCGTTGGTCATAGTCAGTGGATTGTCTCATCCGGTTTCGATTATTTACAGGTCGACGTCCTTCAGCTGCATTACTGAGTTCGGCGTTAAACCACAACAATACTACAATTGAATGTGTTTTGACACTTATCTTAAGTAGTATCTGCAACGGAATTATGGTCTTAACTTGATACCATCTGGGCGGGTCAAATGCTGTCAAAGCAGATATTTTGTAGTTATATATTCAATTTATGGTATAAACATATCACCACCTGTCACGGTCGAAAAGCTGGAACACTGTTTTCTTCATTTACTGATACAACAGCTGTAACTTAGAAAGTATTAGGGATTCATGTCGGTCTGTCGTGGGGTTTAAGATTATCGTTCTTCAATACATTGTAATTATTTGTCTTCAATACCAACGTCCTTCTGTCGGGGATAACGGCAACTAATACATGTTGATTAAACAAGTCAATTTCGATAATCCTTTAAGCACATGATACATTAATCCTAAAATTAATTCTGTTTGTGTATCTGGTGGACAGATGTATTGTTCATTTCGAAGAACTTGTTTCATATGATAATACATGTCACTGTCCGCTGTGAAATGACACTGATTCAGTCGTTTAGCGATAAGAATTATTTTCATGTTTATCCACCATTAAACACTGATGTAGAATTCCTTTTCACTGGCACTATATATCTGTTGCATCCTGTAAAAGTCTGGCTGGTGATGAAAATATGTTTGTGGGAAACTATCTATTTTTGCAATGAAGCATTTGTTTTTAATTTTGTTAAATTTTTACAAGTGATCTTCATCTCATCTTGATTTGATTTGGATTGATAAATAATTTGTGCATTCGCAAAACGTTTTATTACCCTGTGACATTTTGGCAAGAGTTTGTTGCTGACGGATTTGAATAAAAGTAATGAAAGAAATGTTTGTTGTTTAACGCCGCACCTGGCAGTATTTCAGTTGTAAGAAGGCTGTCATTAAGACAATCCAATTGTACATTAAGACAATGCAGCTGTACGATGAGCAGGCCATCGGGTCTTTCGCTGTTAGGTTGCCTTTCAGACACATAATCGGAGCGGACCAACATTCGAACCTTCAATCATAGTGTTCTGGCGAAGCAAAGGGACACAACTCTGCACTCACATTCTGCACAAGGTTGCAGTTCCATGTGATCATATAATTAAAGAGTATACATAAAGAAGAAAAAGATTTTCTTTCAAATATATAATGTGTTCATTTTTAATCTGAGCCAGACCTCAGAGATTTGAGGCCTGATTTTTATGTCCTGAAATGTAAATCCCTTCACCGCCCTGTATTTGCATAATTGTTGAATGGGGCGATCAACAACCAAAACACTGAAACTGGGTCACTGGGTCGCATAACCAGACTTTTCACGGTCCAGTGACCGTAACGCCATCTCTCATTGTTGTTCGACAGCTCGGCAAACTTCGTCCCTGCTCGGCTCACTTCACGATACACGTATGACCTTCATAATGGATTTGGTTGTCCATAACTTTTACTCACTAGCAGATAGTTCGCTACTTTCGTCATGAATTGGTTTGGTGTTACACATGGGTAGGTAAGCTTATTCATGCATGGAAGATGTTACTTGGGTTTTCACGCAGTTCGGGTATGTTTAATTCTATGTAGATATTTCCAGGTGTTTACGGTTATTGTTGTCAACTTGAGAATTGTACATCAATGTTTAGTACATTGTAAATATTTATCGTTACCTGTGGGTAACTTATGTTCAATTGGACATATCACTTCGTTGTCACGTTTAGCTTGATAACGGAGTAAGAATCTACACCATAACATCGATTTATGCAAGTTGTATACATAAAGTGGTATTTTTCGTTATTAACTCACTAACGTTTAGAATGCCGTTCAAATAATTAACTTCTGTTCAGTTATTCATTTGGTAGTTACATCTCCCCTTTTGATTAAGTAGAGTGTTTGTACTACTTGGGTATTCTTTATTTTATAAAACACATTTCTGGTTATTCTCTTAGGCTATGCGAGGACACTGTCGGAAACTGCAGGTTGTAACCTAACCATCGATGTCCGCGTGTTCGGTGTAAGACGTTAGGCTCTTTCTGGCAAAATCGTCACGAAGCCTCGCTGGACCGTAATTTGGTCGTACTGCTACTGGTTTATCAGGTCGAAACGTAGTTTCGCTGCTCTGTATTCAAGGGGGACTTAAATCTAGTGCTGCTGAGCTGAACATGTTGGCTAGGATGTTATATTCCATACCATTTATTTCTATAAACCCGTGGATAACCAGTCTTCTTGGGATTGCTTAGTTCAGAGCAAACACCTTTATATAGTCGTGAGTCACGCTACTCTTCAAGAACAAACACCTGTAAGTTTTTGAAGTCTGAAAGTTCCCTGTTCAGTCCAAGTTTCAAGCTGAATTTGTCTCTAAGGTGAAATTTCTCTGTATATATACCCCAAAAATGTCATTAGAATATTCAAAATGAACTGTCAGCCGATGGTACTTAGTCTCATTGTATTTTGGCAATTCCAAAGTTCCCATGAACATAGCTGTATCAAATTAGGAGACGCGTGACATATGGGTAATCTGAAATAAATGTCCCGCTTTAATGCGGAAATTGAGTTTTCTATAAATCTCTAATTTAAACACATTCTGTGTTCTTACTGATAAAAAACGATAATAAACACACATTTGTTCCAGTTCAGTGCAAAATTTCGAATTGCGGAATCGTCAAAGATCGAATCCCCAAATTAGTGAAGCATTTCTGGTGTCCCCCGCCGTGATGTAGCTGGAATATTTAAAAGCGGCGAATTTAGTCAGTTCAGTTCAATTTCTGGTTTCCGAAAAATCCAGTTCCGAGAGCACCCCGTAGCTTTTCCTGAATTTATCAGAAACTGGTTTCCTACAATCAGTTCGAGAGCCGCCGCGTGTTCAGTATCAGAACTGCGAGTGATGAGCGCAGAGCGTTCATGTTATACCGTCTCAGTAATCACTGTGCGAACCCACGCGCGCTTATAGACGCTGGCCCGGCCGTGGGACTATATAGGACTATGTTTCCTCCGACCGTCACTTGCTAACCCACGCGCGCTTATAGACGCTGGCCCGGCGGTGGGACTATATAGGACCATGTTTCCTCCGTCCGTCACTTGCTAACCCACGCGCGCTTATAGACGCTGGCCCGGCCGTGGGACTATATAGGACCATGTTTCCTCCGTCCGTCACTTGCTAACCCACGCGCGCTTATAGACCCTGGCCCGGCGGTGGGACTATATAGGACCATATTTCCTCCAGACAGTCACAAAAGTACTGTCGGAAATGCTAGAAAAATGTTTTTTAGCCTTAATATTTGATAAAGGTGATAAATGTACTATGTTGTTAATATATCAACTCGCCTATAGTGTACCTAATTTTTTTCCCAATCGATTTAACTTTCCCATGCATTAAAAGGGCAGTTTACAGGAGAGAATATGGTACCAAAACAACAACTTAAGATTTTTTCAGAGTTCAACAACAGAAATCTGAAATAGTCTTTACATTTATGCTAATAATACAGGTGGTGTAAAAATATGAATCAACGTTTTTCTTTAACAAATAAATGTTGAATGTTTGTGTTACTTTACTTAATTATCGTGTCTTTATTGAAGAAATATTAATATAAATGTTAAGATCTTGATAAATAAGTTTCCCGTCATGCATGCATATCTTTATCACAGCGTCCACTATGGCCAACTATTTGCAGTCAATTGTTGCAAAGGTTTATAAGTTTTTTGTTCTTGAAAAAGACAGAGGTAAACCTTTCATTAGTTTAGAAAGGGTTTATTACAGTACTTGTAGAGCTGTTGTTATGTCTTACCAACAAGTTTACAATATTGTAAACAAATCAAACAAGACAGGGACCGTCTCAAAACCAAAACCGGGACGTAAAACCATCCTTGACAACTTTGACAAGGGAGTACTTAGACGGGCGGTCTACAAACTTTAGGAGAAGAATAATATATATATTCTAAAGAAGCTACACCAGTGACTTCGTTAAATCTTTGGCCAATGTTCACAACTAGATTACACTGACCGAATTACATCCATATTTTTTGCAATGAAATATACTGTTGACATGCAAAACACTTATTAAAACGTTGCACATTTCTACAGTCAATCGATAAGATAACACAATGGATAGGATTCTTTCCAATGTACAGTAATTCGTTTGTTTATTTCAAAACAAACACACATACACAAATGCACAAATGATCTCCTACATAACCAATACGTATACTATACGTACACATATTCAACATTTTGAAGAAAACATCTATTGAGATGACACCTCCCCCGAGCGTGTGCTCAGGTGTCAATTTCACCTGTCGATACCGTGCATGCTGATGACGTAACACAGGCAGTTAATGTTTGTATCAAATAACGTCCCACTACCCGTTATTTTTCTAAGTTTTTGGTATTTTCATCAGTAAAAACACATTTTAGGGCATGTCTCAAAATCTATTCCCTCGGTCTACATTAGGTAGATGTTTCTTAAAGTGATATTTGTTATTTAAGTAACTGTAATACCTCTGAATTTTAAATATAAGTCAAAAAGCATTTTTCTAGCATTTCCGACAGTACTTTAGTACTTCATTTCCAGACATGGTTAGACATGACAAAGACCTTTGATATGACATGTCATATATTGGAGATGAGCGTACCGTATTTGCGATGCAAGTACCGATCTCTAATAGAAGCATGTTTCTAATAGACAGAGATATGGTCATCGCGATGCTCTTGAAATCAGCTTCAAGGTACCCCCAACGCTGCCTTTATAAAAGGCTTTTTTATTTGGTAACACTGGGCTTCTGTTTAGGCCCGATCTTAATGGCCCAAAAGACGTATTTTAGGGCCTGTTTCTCAGTGCTCATTTCTAATTAATTACCAGTCCAGATTGTTTAGTATAGTCTCACCCCCATGTACAACAGCATTACATTCATACAGCACCTTGGGATTAGAATACATGTGCCATTACTTATGCCTTAAAAGAAAATATACGACCTGAATACAGATAATATCTCAACATTAGTGATAAACATGTTTCTCCGTCCTTGGAAAATATAAAAGCAGGCTGTGTTCATAGTGCTAACTCACCTCCAGTGACCAGAGCAGTTGACCATTAGACAAGATCCAACGCGTCTCATCCCGTATCACCACTGACACCAGGAGCGTATTTACCAACACCAAGCATTATTCTGAACCACATTAATAACTCTCTTCTCTTATAACGGGGCATACTTGTTTTAGTTAGTACATATTGTTGATTTCATTTCTCCACAGACTGCCTTTGCTTTGACAATTCTAGTTCTGCGCATATCGTCTGTGTTTTGACAGTGCTTGTAAATGACTTGCATAAAAATAATTTGAATGGTTTCTGTCAAATAATAAACTGACATTAACTCCATGTGTTTTACAAATTTTGGCATACGAGGAACGTTTGGATTAAACCTACACACTTTGTTTCTTTAGTTTAAGCAAACAATTTCGAGAATCATTTTTCTAATTCTTCCTATTATATATTGGTATCACCCAAATCTGTAGTCACCGTGTACACGTTAATGCTTTAAGGAAGATAACAGGTGCTCTTTTGCATGTAAAATATGTTCATTAGTGATCTTATCGCAAAGGGATTTACACAGCCTCTGTCATCTCATGAGATATAAATCCCTGTTCCTTCCAATAGCTATATTATTATTTATTTATTATTTGTTAGCAACAAACATTAAAACTGTGATGTGATGGGGACTAAGTACATAACATACTATTGATGTATACTACAGCTATTTCTGACTTTCAATTTAGAAGATCCTTTAATGTGTGACAAAATTGTTACCAAACTCACATTATCAACTATTACCTTGAAGCCCATGTCCAAAATGACTGCATGTACGCATATAAGTAATCTGTCAATTTGAAAATCTGGAAATGTACAATCCTAGGAATTGTACAATCCAATCATTCAGTACACACAAACTCTAATCAATGCCACAATACTTACCTCAGAGAGATCAACTCTTGTATGTAGTTGTCTTCTTTTTAGCCTTTCGCTTGCGTCATGGGGATTTATATCACTGTGAACGCCAATCAGATTGCTCACGCTTCTCATCGTTGCTTATCCGTGTCTGGGGACAAATCAGCGAGAAGTAGGTGACGATGGCCGTAAGCTGCAAATCTGGATAATGTGTGTCATATGAAAGAAGGCGGTACAGCAATACCGGGTACACACACATACGTTAAACGGGATAGGCTTTACTTTAATAGTTCTATTAGGGATAATGCTGAACTTAGGACCTGGAGTTTTCAGTATATTTGACATGATGTAAAGATACCAAATGATGCTATGTCCAACCTTTCGTACATGCGGAATACCTGTAACAAAAGAGTACATTGTACGAAACCGCACGAGCATGGGAAACTCCACCAACAACACATCGTTATTGTACACAACACTACACTTAGTGTTCATGTAACAAAGAAAGAGCCGTGTGCACGATTGTGAAATTAAATTATGTCGCATGTTATATTTGGGATTAAACCATCTCAGTAAAGTACAGTCCCCATGGTTCCTAGTATGGTGATCTACCTTCAGTTGTTGGCGATCAATAGCCTGTTTTTATATTGTATAGTCTTCGTAAATAAAATAGTTCTACATGTTCATGATAGTTTTAGACTCCATCTGTGATACTCTTGTTGTTTTACAGTCCTTCGATGACTGATTATTTAGCAACTTAAATATATTGTTTATGGAAAACATTTCTCGTCACTATATGGCTGAAATATTGCCGAGGTGACGTTAAATTTTAACTCAGTCACTCAGTCACTCAGTCACTCACTCACTCACTCACTCACTCACTCACTCACTCACTCACTCAAGTACAACCCGTAAAGGTCCGGGTAAGAATATTGATCTTCAGTAACCCATGCTTGTCGTAAGAGGCGACTAACGGGATCGGGTGGTCAGGCTCGCTGGCTTGGTTGACACATGTCATCGGTTCCCAATTGCGCAGATCGATGCTCATGCTGTTGATCACTGGATTGTCTGGTCCAGTCTCGATTATTTACAGACCGCCGCCATATAGCTGGAATATTGCTGAGTGCGGCGTAAAACTCAACTCACTCACTCAGTAAAGTACAGACTCTATGACATTTTTGTGTTGAGTCCCATCCTGGGTGCGAACCCACTCGCTCGGTCAGGCACCAATGCGCCAGGATGCAAAGTCAGCCATCTAACCCACTCAGCCATCGCTGTTTTTACAAAATGTCTTACAACTGATAGTCTCGGTCACGTACTTTGTGTACCCCTCTGACAAGTGTAAACTGTCACCGCTCCCATGGTCGAAAGTTATGAACATACAATGCCATTTAGAAAGTATATGTGCAGTTATCTACATAGTACTGAGTAAATCATATTCTACTGTAGGAAATATAAGAACCTTATTTACCATCATCCTATGTACGACAAAACTGGCTTTCTCTTCTTACATGAACGCTCCAAAATACATGTGTTTCATGATCAAAGGTGCTTGCTAAAAGGAAAATGTTTATAGATACATGTACCTATTTATTAAATTTTAAGAATGGGAACCGGACATGTTCTTAAAAGCGTAATGAAATTGTATAAGTGGTTATTTCTTGTCGCAGGGGATAATGTATATATTTCTATAACGATACATCCTAGTTCGGTATCCTTTTTCCATAAGGATAAAAAAGAATCCTTTAAAGTATATTCGTGGATTTCCATATATGCCCCGTGGGGACTCCGGGTTCTATTGACTCGTCATCAACCAGGAAACTGCTTCGCGGATCGATTGAATAAATTTCAAGCCCAAACCTGGCCAGCATTACCCAACATACGTGAAACTTGTGTGAGTGTGGACGCTGACGGATTCGCTATACACTTACGTTTAGTCAAATTACGAAAATACTATTCTGCGGTTCGAACATTATATTCTCAAATGCAAAAATAACTATCACAATACCTGATCAGTATACATATTCATGAGCATTAATACAAATACCTGACACTGCAGATGGCGTCAATGATTGATTGACAGAAAGATACGCGCTAGACAATGCGTATGTGGGTCAGTATAAAATGACTCCTCCCTTTCATATTGCTGAACATGTGATGATCAAACATTCCCCATAAAGTATTGAATACACAAACATTCCAGGAACAACATGAACCACGTTGTCAATAAAATCTTCTGATTCTGTTTCTCCAAATCCCACCATGGTAATACCCGTGAAGGTCCGGGTAAGAATATTGATCTTCAGTAACCCATGCTTGTCGTAAGAGGTGATTAACGGGATCGGGTGGTCAGACTCGCTGACTTGGTTGACACATGTCATCGGTTCCCAATTGCGCAGATCGATGTTCATGCTGTTGATCACTGGATTGTCTGGCCCAGACTCGATTTTTAACAGACCGCCGCCATATAGCTGGAATATTGCTGAGTGCGGCGTAAAACTAGACTCACTCACTCGCCCACCATGGTAAGGAGATATTAAGGTGCTGTCAAAAGTACAGGATCTGAAATTCGAACTTGTAATCATAGGTTTCTGCTACTCCACGAGGTTGCGTATCTGCTCAAAATTCTACTTTTTGGACTACCGTGACACCCTCCGCACCGAAGTGACACAGGCAGATCCCATAGAATGATTTCGAAACAGTACAATCATTGATACGCATTAGACATGTCAGTGAACACTACATGCATTGTTGTGAGATGGATAATAACATAATGGTATACAGGAAGAATGCAAAGCTCAGAGATTATGTATAAATTACACAGCATATGGATGCGTTTAAACACATGCTCTGTCATCGTATCGAATGACGACACATATATATACTCATGATAGAGTACAATCGACTCTGCTTTTAGCAGAGATTTCTTATGAATGTGGAAAAGTTTTTCTCACTTCTATCTAGGGGTCGCCGAGAGCGTAGGACACAGTTTTGCAACATATATTTATTGTATGCTTCTAGTAGAATATGAATTGTTGCTTAACTCTATGTCAAACAGAGTATAAATAACATAAAACATATTCTCACAACATATATTTTTTCTGTAAGTACATAAAACGATGGGCGAGGGGTACATACTCTTTATGAGTGAGTGAGTGAATTTAGTTTGACGTCGCTCTTAGCAATATTCCAGCAATATCACGGCGGGGAACACCAGAAATGGGCTTCACACTTTGTGCCCATGTGGGGAATCGAACCCGGGTCTTCGTCGTGACGAGCGAACGCTTTAAGCACTAGGCTACCCCACCGCCCCCAAAACAACTTGTAATGTGTAGTTCATGCAATACTACTCTGGTAGTGAGTTCATTCCTCCACCCAATGTAAAGTTAAAACAGATCTTGGCGTCTACATTTCTCATGCTAAGATCTTAGGAGGTAACCGAAGGATGGCCTGTATTTCTTCGCTCGAATATCACTGTATGTTGTGAATTTAGGACGACGGCCTGCACAATGATGACATAAACAACATATAATCTGATGAAAATGAAACACCTTATCACTTTTGCCTGAGGGACTGCAAAATCACTCTACCACGACATACAATGATGTTTGCTTAGACCCGTGCCTACATTCACAACTATCTCCAGTTTGAATACTCCACATATAGATATAACATTTGATTGAAGAGGAAACATTCTGTTTTAAGTTCAAATCCAGTCAACGCTTACATGGTGAATCACGATGGCTGTCTGTGACTTGGTCAGACCAGCATCTGAACCTCGAACCCGACCCACAAAGCGTTCGTAACGTTACGACATGTCGTAACTCTATAGTTTACCACAGGCGTACGGATGTCGTAGCGCTACGAACGCTTGGTGGATCGGGACCATGTTCCAGTAGGCTTTACGACCTTAAATAGTTTCAAGATACAGATCAACATCTGGTGTTATTATGTTGACCTGTAAACCAAAATATTTTGACAAACAGTCGTCTTATGTGGTTCTGTTATAGTCCTATGCATATCTATGTTGTAGGCTTAATATTTTGTGTAACGTCAAGAGTATTTCTTTGAATAAGTACTGACGTATTCCTACATGATTGGGGGAGGCCAGTGGGGTAGCCTTGTAGTTAGTTAAAGCGTTCGCTCGTCACGCTGAAGACATAGTTTCGATTTCCCACATGGGTACAATGTGTGAAGCCCATTTCTGGAGTCACCCGTTGTTGGAATAATACTAAAAGCGGCGTTAAACTAAACTCACTCACACATGATGGATTGAGTTGGGATTAACGTCCTCGCTCTTTGTGGGGAACTATTTACAATTCCCACCGACCATCGTTTCAAGTCCTTCGAAAAATGTATGTCTTGAGAATATCTTTTTATGTTTTTGAATCTATGTTTTATGTGTAAATGTTATTTGGTACGAAATGAAAGTAATTTGTTGACAGGAGGGCGCCTAAGTAGTGGTATGTCGAACAATTTATTATTTCTTGTCAATCGTTCGGAAGCATACCACTTACGGCTTACGGTGAATGGAATTACTGTTGTGTATATTTTATTATAGTTATAAACTGAGCTATGAAATGTATAATAAAGGATTATGTACATTGTGCTGGTAAATTGTACGTAAACTGCAGTCATGCAGATACTTCACCCACCCTCCATTGTCAAGATGATAATATGGAGTCAGCCATTCAAGGCAAAGATCCATGAACCGTGTTTAGTTTAGCTTTTCGTTACAAGGCAGGTTGAGGTGATTCTTGTTTTGTGGAGCCCCGAAACAGACAAGATCAGCTGACCATGTATCCAAAACATATTGATTCTTAGACATGACAAGACTGAGGTTAAGAGAAGTTGATACATCTATTGACTAGAAGTGATTTTTTCACGATATAGAAAAGCCATAACACAAAACTCTTAGAATTTCAATACAAATTCTTGCATAGAATAATTTATACCAAAAATGAACTACTAACAATGAAATTGGTTGACTCTGATTCGTGCTCCTTCTGTGGGTCAGAAGGCGAAAGTATTGACCATTATTCTCTACATTTATATCTGTCTGTCATCTTTTCCCTTCTTTACCTGTCTGTCTCATCATCTCTCTATCCTTATCTGTCTCTATCTCATGCTTTCGTCCTCTGTCACTCTCTCCTAGTTCCTCCCTGGTATCTTTATCTCATTTCTGACTGAGTCTCCAGGGGCGGTTAGGTAGCCTATTTGTTAAAGCGAAGACCCGGGTTCGATTCCCCACATGGGTACAGTGTGTGAAGCCGATTTCTGGTGTCCTCTGCCGTGGTATTGCTGTAATATTGTTAAAGCGGCGTAAAACCATACTCACTCAGTCACTGAGTCTCCGCGGTCATCTGTCTCTCTACCCTTTTCTACCTTTGTCATCTCTCAGCTTCAATCTGTCTATATCACCACTGTCCCTCTCTGTATGTCTGACCGCCTCCGTGGTGTAGTGGTTAGAGCGTCCGCCCGGACAGCGGAAGGTCGCGGGTTCGACCCCCGACTGCGTCATACCAAAAGACGTTAAAATATGGTACTTGTTGGTCCCTGTCTGGCGCTCGGCATTAATGGGTACATCAAGGACTGGTCGGCTCGGAATCAGTATAATGTGTCTGAGTGGGGTATTCATGCTTCACTGCGGCATGGTATCTCAGTGGGCTAGCACTATAAAACCAGCTTCAGTCTTGGCTAGTACAAGCAGCCGCACATACACATACACACGCATTCACGTCGTCATATGAGCGAAATATTCTCCAGCACGACGTTAAACCCAATTTCACCTCACCTCACCTCTGTATGTCTCTCCTTACTTGTTTCTTTATCCCGTATCTGTCTCAGTCTGTCTCTATATGTCTATCCATTTGGTTACCTGCCCTGCACTGTGTGACTATCTCTCTATCTATCCGCCCAACTCCCTTACAAAGTTTGTGTTTGTTGTACATAACCAACATTCATTCCTTGGTGTAAATCTTCATTACTGGAGGAAATAGAGAAGTATATCTATGTCTGTCATTCAATGGATGTCAGTATTCAGCAGCGTTAATGTTTGTGGCTCAGGACAGCCTTCCTCACATTCATTATATATGTGTCATGCTTTTTCCTTAATAACGTCCTAAGTATATGTTAATTCTTTACCCTTCCCCACAAGATACAGCTAAAATAATACAACATCTGTCTTTTCTCCCTTGTACATATTTGCATGGTTTGAATTAGGCATAATTTCAAATTCAACTTCTCAGACTCCTTCTTTTGTTCTCCTTCTCCGCATTCTTCTCCTCTGTGTTCTTCCTTATCTTCTTTTTTGTCTTCTTCTTGTCCTTCTTGTTCTGCTTCTCCTCGGGATCGGGTGGTCAGGCTCGCTGACTTGGTTGGCTCTTCACCGTGCCCTAGGTGCGTAGAGTGATGCTTGTGCTGCTGATCACTGGATAGTCTGGTCCAGACCCGATTATTTACAGACCGCCGGCATTTAGCTGGAATATTGCTGAGTGCGGCGTAAAACAACAAACCAAAACAGTGAGTGAGTGAGTGAGCATGGTTTTACGCCGATTTGAGCAATATTTTAGCGACAGCGGCAGGAGACACCAGAAATGGGCTTAACACATTGTACCTCTATTGATAGAGGGAACCCTACCCAGATACACTTCTCTTATAAGGAGATTACAAATTCTGTATTTGAGCCAGACTCTGTATTTGAGCCAGGTGAGGTGAATTTGGGTTTAACGTCGTGCTTGAGAATATTTCGCTCATATGACGACGTGCATGCGTGTCTATGTGTATGTGCGGCTGTTTGTACTAGCCCAGACTTAAGCTGGTTTTATAGTGCTAGCCCACTGAGATATCATGCCGCAGTGAAGCATGAATACCCCACTCAGACACATTATACTGACTCCGAGCCGGCCAGTCCTTGATGTACCCATTAATGCCGAGCGCCAGACAGGGACCAACAAGTACATATTTTAAGGTCTTTTGGTTTAACGCGGTCGGGGATCGAACCCGCGACCTCCGCTTCCCGGGCGGACGCTCTAACCACTACACCACGGAGGCGGTCTGGTGTAATGGAGAGATATCTTGTAAACTAGCGTCCAAAGAAACGCCACCAAAATAAAAATTATCATAAATTGTCAAAATAATTGCCAATCTGCTGAAAAACGGCTGAAAACACATCCCTCGAACACAACCTGTCTATTCCCAGTGAACAGGTGCACGAGATTTTGATGATTGGTGAGTTAAATGAATTCGCACAGAAAAAATTGAAATTGTGCACAAAGTTACCCGTATGTCATGAGGGTATAAAACCTGACTAGATTTGTTCTCTCTCATCATGTGACACAATTGAAAGCAGCCAACTTGCCTCGATTGACCAAAGAACAGAGGGAAAGAGCAATTAGTATGCTTCAGATGGGCGCAACACAGGAGCACGTGGCCAGGATCATGGGATGCTGTAAGTCCACCATCGCCCGACTTGTCACACGTCACAGACAAACTGGCAGTACTGCTGACAGACCCAGGTGTGGCAGACCCAAGGTCACGACCCCACAGGAAGATCGATATTTACGGGTGCTTCATCTGAGAAACGCTACCTCACTGTGACGTCATCAAGTCAGCAGACAGAACGTAGCAAGACGACTCCGTCAGCATGGTATTCATGCCTATCGACCTTTCAAGGACATGACGTTAACGCTCCGACACCGACGTGCCAGATTGAGGTGGGCCAGGACCGTAATGCAGTGGCAGCAGCGAAACTGGCGATTTGCTCTTCAGTGACGAGAGCAGGTTCCAGCTCTTCAAATCTGATGGTTGTGTTCGAATCTACCGACTTCGGGGCGAACGGACGGCACCTGCTTGCATCGAAGAAGTGGAGCATTACGGCGGTGGGAGCGTTATCGTCTGGGGCGAAATTTGTGGGGACCAGAAGACAGATCTCGTCATCATCAACGGTAATCTCACCGCACGTCGTTACATCGACGAGATTTTACGGCCTGTGGTGCTGCCTTACCTGCAACGTCACCCAAGGACTCTGTTTCAACAGGACAACGCGACACCTCACACAACTCGGATCACTAGTGACTTCCTCAACACTAACAACGTCAACCTGCTACAGTGGCCAGCGAGATCTCCCACTATCTGTCTCCAATCGAACACCTCTGGGACCAACTGGGGCAACGTATTCGGAAACGTCAACAGCCGCCATTGACTAGGGACGCTTTGGCAGTTGCCCTGCAAGAGGAATGGCGCCGAATCCCTAATGATGACGTCAGAAGGCTCACATACTCAGCTCGACGCCGCGTTAGAGCCTGCATCACTGCTAGGGTAGGGGACACACGATGCTGAATCATCTGTGTTGTTCAGGACAGTTTAAGACCTTAAAGACGAATCAGCGTTGGCGATCGATTACTGGACACTGCACCCCTGTGTCATCCATGTGCCTTCAGAACACGAACTGTTTCGTTTTTTTCTAACTGAAAAGTTTCAAGAACTGTTGCTGAATGATTGTGTTTTACAATACAACACTTCTTGTTACCATAATTTGCTTTTGTTGTGTTTTAGTGAAGAAAACTGTTTGGTGGCGTTTCTTTTGGACGCTAGTTTATTAACAGGATAGTCTGCTAAACACTGATAATATTTATGCACATCAGACTCTTTCAGCAAGAAGGCCAAGACAAAGTTTTGATTGAGAATTTTTAATAGGATTTGCTAGGACAGAATTGGATGAGCGGTACGTTGACACGGGGTTAGCTAAACATCCTGTGAATAATTTATATTGGTATCCAAACATCAGTCATCTGTGGAAGGAGTATTGTGCGGATTATTACTTTTTTAATAGGTTAAACACAACAGTATTCGGGTGTTTCGGTAATGTTTCTTACCATCGGAATGGGCCGTAGTGTGAAAGTGTTCAATCGTCACGCCGATGACTCGGGTTCAATTCCCTACATGGGTACAATGTGTGAAGGTCATTTCTGGTGTCCCCTGCCGTGATATGGCTGGAATATTCCTTAAAGCGTGTAGAACTAAACTCACTCACTCACTCAATTCTTACCATCGGAACTAAACAGAAACAGAGTTAACGGTTTTGTTTGAAGTAGTTCTAATATTCATATTCCAGTATAAATCACACTAGAACAAGTTGCCGAACAACATGAGTTGGTCACGATTGTCGCATTTGGTTATCACGCCGGGGTACAGCCAAAATATTGTCTGAATCTCTGTTAAAACAAACTCACATATCATATCAGTACAACAACCCAGACCCGGGTTAGAATTGGTCTTCAGTAACCCATGCTTGTCGTAAGAGGCAACTAACGGGATCGGGTGGTCAGGCTCGCTGACTTGGTTGACACATGTCATCGTATCCCAGTTGCGTAGATCGATGCTCATGCTGTTGCTCACTGGATTTGTTGGTCCGGACTTGATTATTTACAGACCGCCACCATATAGCTGGAACATTGCTGAGTGCGGCGTTTAACAACAAACCTAACCCAATACGACAACCCAAGTTTATATTTTTATTGATATAGTAAAAACTAAGGAGGCCTAAGATCTACAACATGTATATTGTTTCCATTTACAATGTCGTGGAACTGTGACATCATCGCAGAACTGAAGATACTCGAGTTCGTGTTATCGAATATGGACATGGATCCTGTATCATTTGATCTGATTTTAGTTGTGATTAACGGTTAATATTTCTATGAATACAAGCAAGAAGATCAAGCAGTGTTTTCTAACTCACAAATTATTTCCGTATCTCAACAGATAGCTAACAAGTAACCCGAGATACACTTGCAGATGTAAAACTTACTTATCTATTTCCTCTCCAATTGTCGCTCCCTTCTTCCTACTCACTCTCTTTCGACCCACTCTCTTTCGACTTACTCTCTTTCGACCCACTCTCTTTCGACCCACTCTCTTTCGACTTACACTTTCTCCACTCACTCCCTTTCGGCCCACTTTCGTTCGACCTACTCTCTTTCGACCCACTCTCTTCCGATCCACTTTCTTTCGACCCACTCTCTTCCGATCCACTTTCCTTCGACCCACTCTCTTTCGGCTTACACTTTTTCAACCCACTCTCTTTTGACCCACTTTCTTTTGACCCACTCTCTTTCGACTTACTCTCTTTCGACTTACTCTCTTTCGACCCACTCTCTTCCGATCCACTTTCTTTCGACCCACTCTCTTCCGATCCACTTTCTTTTGACCCACTCTCTTTCGACTTACTCTCTTTCGACTTACTCTCTTTCGACTTACTCTCTTTCGACTCACTCTCTTCAGATTCAATAGACTCTGAGGAACACTTAAGCCTGCTTGTGCAGTCGCAGTTCTTGCTGGTGCGTGATCTACGCTGAATGTCGTTGAGGCATTTTCCCCAGGGACTCCAGCTGCCCCAAGTGCACGGCGTTCTCCACTTGTTGAGGTTAATTTCAGGCAGAGATTCGCATGAGACCCTGGAAAAAATTACAAAACCGAAGGCATCAGTAATACTTATAGATTTATGGTTGACATGTTGAAGATATTTCCTAATTTGAAGCATCAGTGACCAAAAATAGTGACAAGGATATCTGATGGTTATGAACAGGTTCTGTCGTTTTTTAGTCATAAACTCATTCTATTATGGACGTGGATGATCAAAGAATTCAATTTGGTTTACTGCTGTATACTTAGAAGTATGCAATAAATAATTCACATTGTTTTACAGTCTTATGACATTCTTTTTTCACAAGAAGTAATGTCGAGATGTGCTTACGGAGATCCTTTGATGAAAGCGTTCTGTTGGATCCTGAAGGTGTCGGTATTGTCACACACTACCCTCGACAGACTGGCTTTCCGGATTTCCCTCAGTTGCCCTGACAATAAATCATAATAACTCCATAAATTTAGGAAATTTTCGATCCCAAGCGACCAAGAATTCTTATGTAAAATTAATAGCATTACTCAAATCGGCACTACCAACATTATATGATCGTTGCATATGCAAGAAAACCGTTCTGATGTTAAGTTAATCCTCAAAGCAGCGCCGAACCCATTCTAGATTTCTTACAGAACAAACGCATCTTGGCAAAGCCATACATTGTAATTCCAAGCATCATGTTTTGCTTCTTTGATGGGTATTTCAGTTGAGGTGATGAAGAATGGTGATAATGTTTCAGATATACCACGTCGTCATATGAGCGAAATATTCTCAAGCACGACGTTAAACCCAATTTCATCTCACCTTAGATATACAACTTCGTTTGAAATTTCTACATAGATTCTAAAGTGGTCGTCAAGATCTATGTCGAAACCTCGCCTCTCACAGACTAAAGAAGTTGTATATTCATAAAATTATCATCATTCTTCATCACGTTTTACGTATATATCTTCAGTGAAACATCTTCAGTATTACAGCTTCAGCGGTTTCAAAAATATTTTAATGTGCTTTAAAACTTATATATAATTTTCCCTCAGTTTGTGTCTGTCAGTTCTGTCTGTCATCTGTATTGCTGCAATTATGTACAGACTGTACATTCAGTCATTACAAAACAACTAACTACAAGGATTAAGAAATAGTTTCCTTTCTGTAAATATTTCCTACTGATCTGCAAATCAGTTCGTTTTTCAATCAGGTGTAGTCCATACTGAATTGGTTCCAAATACATTGTATTTTTTTGTTGTTGACGTACTAGGAGTGAATTTAACATTGGCGTTGTTCCCTTCAAACCAGAATCGGTCTCCTTTCTTCAGTGCCTGGAACTGTTTCCCCAGGAGACAGGTAAATGTTGGTCCCAGAAGTCCCCCTGCAACAGGTGTCTCCGACAGAGCCCCAGGGAACAGGTCGATGTCGTCGACGTGACTGAAAAGAGACAGATACAAATTTAATGGTGTGATCCAATATATACTAAACGCCAAAAAGAAACGTTACCCTCCTTCCTTAATGACGGAGGTACCTATCTTCAACTGGCGTTGTGATGCGTGGACGTCCACTTCTTGGTCTGTCTACGTTGACCCCATTCTGTCCGAAGCCCTGAATAAGTCTTATGAACGTGATACTGTGGCATCCGTATGCGTTGGCAACAGCATTGTATGTCGACCCCATCTGCACCATCCCGATGGCTCTTTCTCTCTCTTCAGCTGTTAATCGTGGCATATTTCTCGTACTTGTCTATTATACCATCTTTTCTAGTCTCTCTTCATACCCTATAGAATCATTCTACATGTGAAATGGATGTAAATACTGCTTGAATATTGCTGCGTTTTGGCGATTGATATTGCTATGTGTGAACAGAAAATGGAAAAAATGTTACTTTGCAAGCAAAAATGTTAATAAAGATCATTGTAGATGTTCCTAAGCATTTTTTTCACAATATTAAAGACACGTTTTACTTGTTTTCACTAATGCAAATCAGCAGAAAATGTTTTAAAAGACTGGAATCATAGGGATGATTATTTTACAATTTTACACACTCTACAAAAATTGTTTCGTGTTTTAATAGTTGAAAAATGGTGACTTTAGATGGTTTACCTTTGTCCCAAAGCAGAATTTTATTTCAACCTTTCTTTTGGACATCTTACCAGTGTTATTGGTTAATTTCGGCATGGACGAAAATAGGACAATTTAATTCTTCTGAAAAAGATGCATTTCACCTAAATATGAACGCATTTGAGAACTTGTTTCAGGTGATTTGCATAAGCTATTTTGTTCAGCTTTCTTGTGAACTAATACCTTCTAACGCATCTTTGATAGTTTTTAAGTAAATCATAAAGGTAGGAGGATAACGCTTCTTTTGGCGTTTAGTGTATGTGTCATTGGACGCCGACATCTGTAGGAAAACGCTTTTGACGTTCTTTGCAATTGTTCTGCTCAATATACAAGTTAATGTTTTCCTTCACTCGATGATCACCTTGAGAGATAAAAATAAAGACGTTAATATGTTTCTGGTCATTACACTTGTCCTTTTAGTTGAACAAATAATATGCATGAAGGAAAAACATTGTTGTCTCTGCCACCAATAGAACCTTTCACAGTGATTTATAAAAGTTTGGTATACGGCAATGGAAAAGCCACGGAGGCACACGCACTCACACACACGCACGCACATACACCGAACTATATGAAACAAACCATACACAAGTCCAAAATTGTAAAATGGAGATAAATTGCTGATATATAATGAACAACATAAGAAACGCACCACACTAAAATGCACCGATATCATGGGTACATTTCAGTCTGACGGGGATATTTCGTATTATATGGGAGGTGCGTTTCTAATGTTGTTCAAATATTTTTTAACTGGTAATCGATAAATGAAAGTGGTGTAGGGCTTCAGCAGTTGTAGTTGTAAAGTTCAGTTAAATGCATGTACTTACTAGCTAATGAAGTAAAACCTTTTATGTGAAAAGGGGGCGATGGGGTAGCCTAGTGGTTAAAGCGTGAGTTCGTCACGCCGAAGACCCGGGTCGATTCCCCATATGGGTACAATGCGTGAAGCCTATTTCTGGTGTCCCTGCCGTCATAATCCTAAAAGCGGGGGTTAAAACTAAACTCACTCACTCATCTAAAAAGAACTCACTCATATGCTTTCTTCAAAAGATATGCCGCATATGTTGTGTGAGTGGTGGTAGTGAGGTCGGAGGTGGATTCAGCTTCTGGAACATTACAGTTGTTTCTATTGTACTTGTCACCACTAGTTGTGGAAATAACCGACGTGGTCAATTCCCGTTTCAGTTAAATCTCGCGACAAGTTCTGGCGCTAACTCCCTATTGGGACAAGAGTAGAAACGCAGAACGTGTTTCCCTTTATTCAAGTAAGCATGTATCAACATATAGTTCGGGTTTAGAATTTACAACACAAGACTCAGGGATATTCTCACTATACTAACAGGACACCAGAAACTTTCAACTTAGTGCTATGTGCTATAAATAGTCATTGTTTAAAAATGTTTTAACAACAGCCCAGCTCTATGAAACCATAAATGGAGCCAAGTTGGAATTCGAACGTGACGAGGGAACGCATCAACAAACAATGAAGCAAACAACAAACACTTGTCTTAAATTGCAAGAAAGATTGTCTACATCAAATGATGTACCAACAAATTCATTTTCATAAGTTCATAAACTTTACAGTTAATTTTTAATTTGCATTAGAATCAAAGGAAGTAGTTTCAGAGAAGTATATGTAAATGTATATCTGTACATTAGCGCTTTACATCCTAATATAATCGACAGCAGGTTCTTTTGAAAGCGTCTCCACTCACTTGTACACTTTCTTCAGAAGGTTTGCCGCAGTTGTTGTGTGAGTGGTGGAGGCGAGGCCGGAGAAGGATGTCGCTGTTGGAACGTTACAGTACCTCCTCCACTTGGTGTAAGACGGGAGCCCGTGGTCTCTTCCTCTCTGGATGTTGAGAGCTGCCAGGTCAAGACTGTTGTTGTTACTGTCAACAAACAACCTGTCCGTCACCTCCTGTGTCAGTTTGTGATCTACAGTCTGGACACTGTCCTTAACCAGTCCTCTACAGTAATGATCCACCTTCCTGTCGTTGACGTTCAGAATGAGATTCGTGTCACCGAAGATCTCGCTTAGTCTGTCCTTCCCGAGAAATTTATGTGAAGAGCTGAAGCTGGAGAAGTTGCTGTGGATCATGGAGTGTCCCATCCTGAAAGCCGCAGTAGCGAAGGCGTTCCTGATGCTGGGGTCTATCGATGTGTTGTAGACGTTGGCGTAAGCAGTCCCAGATCCAATTCGTAAACCATACTTGGCCATAGCTTGCCCACCCAGGATGAAAGGCAAATACTCATCGTACGTGATTTTCTGAAATCCCAATTGAATTAATACACTTTCAATATACACAGTATATTTAGAATCACACATGATGCAAATTCTAGTCGATGGCCAATACCTACGGAAACGGCCATCGTGCTAAAACAATAAACTAAGACAAGGTGGGATTCTTATCTTAACTCAGCAGATCGGTATTCGAATAAGTTGCATTTTATCATGATGGCGACAGAAAGAAGCTAAATCTAGAAAAAGGTCATATTCGCACCTGCATGATAGCACCGACTATCTTTCTGGTTTCTTGGAAAATTTTCTCATCACTCCAATCGCAGTTCAGCTCTTGCAGTTTCTTAGCTATACGGTTGTGTTCTCTCACAAAGATGGTGTGCATGCTCTGAAGGGTTGGGTTTTCATTCACTCGATGATCTCCTTGAGAGACAAAAATATTGGTTTGTTGAGGTTCCTGCGTTGCTGGTCGTTTAATTTGTCCTTTTGATGGTACACATACTTTGCATGAAGGAAAAACAAAGTTGTCACTGCAATCAACCTTTCACCATGATATATATAGATTTGGTAAACGGCACTCGATTGGCTAAAGAGGCAGACACACATCCACAAACACATATACGCGGGTCCGCCGTCAACACCTATCTCCTTGAGTAGTGATAGAAGCTAGGCGAGGTGAGGTGAAATTGGGTTTAACGTCGTGCTTGAGTATATTTCGCTCATATGACGACGTGCATGCGTGTATATGTGTATGTTCGGCTGCTTGTACTAGCCTAGACTGAAGTTGATTTTATAGTGCCAACCCACTGAGATACCATGCCGCAGTGAAGCATGAATACCCCACTCAGATACATTATACTGACTCCGAGCCGACCAGTCCTTGTTGTACCCATTAATGCCGAGCGCCAGACAGGGACCAACAAGTATCATATTTTAACGTCTTTTGGTATGATGCGGTCGGGGATCGAACCCGCGACCTTCCGCTCTCCGGGATAGAAGCTAGGGAAGAGGCTACACACTCTACTAACCTGCCAGGAAACAGTAGCTGGGGCTGTCTGGTGTGGTACAGCTCTGTAGCGAATCTTCAGGCAAATGAGAATGTCTCATTTTCAGTTGACCTGGAACAAGGCACCGTATATTTGTATCCAAAGCTTCTTTTAAGGTTGGTTAAAGCAATTCTTTGACCAACAGCAATAAAAGCACTTCCTATTTCAACATACAGACTGAATTTTGCCTTATGTAGCATTTAGGAAATTGGTACTCAAGTCGATAATTATGGTGCTATCACTGATTTTCACTGATACATTATTATATGTGCGACTGCTACATGCATTTTACACCCATGAAGGTCCGGGTTAGAACACTGATCTTCAGTAACCAATGCTTGTCGTAAGAGGCGACTAACGAGATCGGGTGGTCAGGCTCACTGACTTGGTTGACACATGTCATCGGTTCCGCCAGGCAGGGATCAACAAGTACCATATTTGAACGTCTTTTGGTATGACGCAGTCGGGGATCGAACCGGGCGCACTTTTAGTATGAACTAAAAACTATTTTTGGTAGCACTCACAGAAAACTTGTTTGTGGCTACCTCAGGCCATATTGTTTTCGAATTTTCTAATGATTTTATTGCATTGTTTTCTCTAAATTAATAGTAACCGCATCCACTGTTGGATGACGTTGCGCGAGGCTACAAGGCGCCATGTATTTATGCAAGAAATTTCTATAATGGCTGGTTGAAAGACTAACAGCAAATCTTTGACCTAAAGCAATTAATTTATTTATTATTTCAACGTACAGACTGAATATTACCATATGTAGCTTTTAGGAAACTGGTATTCGTGTCGATAAGTATATAAGATTTTCAGTGATCCACCTATGTAGAATTCACTGCACCTTTCTTTTTAAGACAATATATTTTGGGACATACCCGAGGCTGTTTTTTCTCTTGGCGTTTAGAATCGTTGATCGTTGGTCAGCTCACTGTCTTCTCTAAAATAACAGTTAGACCACTACCACTACTCGTGACGTAGTGTGAGGCTATACATAACTTCGTTTCAGCAACAGATCTTAGATATGAGATGACGAAAATTTCTGTGATCCAAAAATCCTCGCCTTTTTTTAACCTTTACATCTCAACCTGGAAAGGACTGCTACTCGAAATATATTTTTGTGCATGTCGTCTACAAAATACAATATTTATGTTCATTATCAGCGAAAGCTCGACTGATGACTATGTAATAAATGAATAATAAGTCATATTTTACGGGAATTGGATTAACTAATTATTCATCCTGAAATACCTTTCACAAAAGTCCGCAGTGTGTTCTGTTCCCCTTGTGACGACCCGTACACCTGCGAGGCATCTATAAATGCTGTGATCTGGTTCAGCTGTTCCACGGGGACTGGAACAAGCAGCAGACAATGGCGTTGGAATATTGAGTGTGTGTCGTTGTGCTGCTCGATCATTCGATCATGGGTCCCTATTTCTGACTAGTGCTGATTATGATTTGTCGGGACTGTGTGTGTCACTGATTATAGTACCTGCTTGTGTGGGTCACTGATAATATTACCTGCTTGTATGTGTCATTGATGATATTACCTGCTTGTGTGTGACATTGATGGTATTACCTGCTTGTGTGTGTCATTGTTGACATAGCTTGCTTGTGTGTGTCATTCATGTTATTACCTGCGTATGTGTCTCATTGTTAATATTACCTACTTGTGTGTGTCATTGATGACATTACCTGGTTCACACTCAGCGTTCTCTATTTGAACTGAACGCACGAAGTTCATGCAGGTGGTTCTGAAGTGTCTGTCGCGAGCAGGGATGACGATGGGGAAGCACTGGGGCCTGAAAGGACGAATACAGACCGTTACAACATAGCACAGGATGATTACGGGCGACAGTGATTTCTGAAGTTGAAGAATCATGAAGGATTTTTCTGGACCTGCTTTATTCGGTTCACATTTATAGCAAATATCACTAGGATTAGAAGGATAAGTTTATGTATTAACTTTAACTAATGTGATTGCTTGTCAGACTTGTATTTCACTGATACCATTAAACGTCTAAATGCGTAACTGAACATTATCACACTTAATTCATTCATTTGGTAAATACAATCAAAGAATATCTCCAAAACAAATGCGCATGTGGAATCAGGGAGTTTTCTCTGTTGGCACTGACGCTAGCTGAGAATCTTATACGCATAAATAGTCATAGTATTACTATGATCATTATCTGAAATCTGTATAATTCCTTTCTATATAAATTCCAAATATATCTTTGTTCTCACGATCGATCACAGCTTTCCTGTTGGCAATCTCGAGAACGTTTGTTTTGAACAGAAGTACACAGTAAATAATAACATGTGTCCTCGTCCCATTCCTCTAAACCTCGTTAAATACAAGTTCCCATGATACAACAGAACGAGGTGAGGTAACGAGGTAAGCCCATCATATCACATGGAGTGTTAATATTAAACGTCAGCGCAAGGGAATATCTATTCGAAACAGATTCCAAGAAGGGTACCAATAATATAAGCGTGAAAAAAATCCGGACTATCTTATAAACGCAGGTAATGACTTAGAACCTAGATATAAATGCCATTTGCCCACCTGTTAGAGGGAGATGGCAATGGTCTTACAGGTGCATATCTTTTTCCTCTAACAGTAGGATCACAGCACGCAACAGAACCATTCGGACCTGTAAATAAAACGATTTTCTTTAATAACACTTGCTTGTGATATGCTCGGAACTTGAAACTGACAATAAAATAATGATCATGAAAATGGCTGTCCATGTAAATAAGCTTCTGGATGTCAGCTCAAACTGGGTGATGTTCGTATTGGTCAGAGAAGTACATCTCCCCAATCTAGGCCCACAACGGAGAGGCATATGCCATCATACCTTTATTATCATTATTTACATTATTATCACCGAGAGCGTTAGAAGGGCTGTATTCCTGGCAGCAAACCTGGGTCCTCTCCCAATATCAGTCAAGGAATTGGGAGTTATAGAAACCTAAGGCACTAAGAAGAATGGGGAGTCGGACAGTTTGGTACTTGGGATACAAGCGCGACATTCAACAAGCGAGTACTTTTGCTTTCTTTTTCCTGAATCTTGGCAATCACTTTAATGCAAAAATAAATTAAATTATCTAATTAATTTAATTAGTTTAATAAAAGAAGACAAGGTCAGGTTTTTACTTGGATATGTCTGGGGGTGGGGGTGGGGGTGGGGGTGGGGTGGGGTGTATGGCCCTTTCCAGAGAATTAGATGAATGTCGTTTTCCATAACGCATTCAACATATTCAGGGTCGTACCATGGATGGACCTCAAAGATAAAGCACAGTGAAGGCGAATGAGCCATAGCATCACGTCGCTTAAGATATTTTGTTAGTGCAATTTTTTCACTTACGCCTGGAAAGTGTCTGGTCCTGAGCATCAAAACAGAATGCTTTCTTTATCATTTTTCAGGCCAACCGACCCCGTCCAAAAGACCGCAGGTTTGCTCTTCCCCTAACCACACTGCGTATAACCTCCCTACAATGGTGCATTTGTGTCACTCATTTCTGTACACTAGCAGCATTGAACCATCAACACAATCAATATTGAGAATTGAGATTCTATGCAATATCCTTGGCTCGTTTGCATCATGTGTTTTGTGCTTCACAAGAGGATTATCACACAAATGAACGTTTTGAAAGTTGCACAATATACTTCTGTTAGGAAGAGCTTCCACGTTATAATTAAACATCTCTGAGAAGAGCGAGAGGGTTGTGACATATATTGACAATGAGAATATTCTTTACAGTGTGGAATCCCCCTAAGACATAAGGAGACAGAAGGTGTGTAAGAGGTGTTGGGGATCTGTGCTGAGGACGTTCCTTGTGATAATATTTCTCTTTGTTAAGCAAAAGCAAATGACTAAGAGAATCACCTTCTAATAGAGATTGGTATATAATTATACCAGAAATGTATCACTGTTACCTGCTTGCTGTGTGGGTGT